TTCCGACGGCCACAGCTGTCGTGTCGGCTGGCAAGACGTCGACTCTGAAGCCGGCTACCGTGTCTGTCGTCTTGCAGTCGACTCGCACCGTGACGGTGCAATCGACGACGACGCTGCCTGCCGCGATCCAGAACGTGGTCCGCACCCAGACGCGTCATACCACCGTCGTCCTGCCACGCCAGACGGCGACGGTGACGGTGCGCGAAGACTCGGCGCAGACTAACACTGTCATACTGCCAGCATCGACGGCCACGAGCTGGGCCACGGTCCGCTCAACGGTCAAGCCTTCGGGCACCATCACGAACCGCGCGACGGTCACCAAGACGAAGACGTCGCAGGTCAAGTCGACCGTGACGAGCTGGGTGACCAAGACCAGCAAGGGGGCCAAGACGTGCACGGCCTGAGCGGGGGGAGCTAGCCGTGTCGACTCTGATTTTACGCCTGTACATGCCTCGTACTCTACCGTACATGAAGCAGATTAGAAGATGACGATATACTTAATAGATTTGCATCGAGATTGGAGTTTGTGTCCATGATCCTGAGCCTGAGAGTGTGCTGGAAGAGGAAGTGCATGACCATGTGCCACTTTGATGATGATGCTTCGCTGCAGTATACACTGGTGCCCGCATGACCTGAGCTCGCGCCTCAGGATATTTCTATCTTCTCCGGTCTTCCGACGAGAACTCTGATTCAGGAACTCATCGCCATTCTTGGTCTTTGCCAGATGTACAGGAGGACGCTCCAGGGTGGGAACGTCAGGAGCTGGCGGCACGGGACTGCCAGCTGGCAGCCATGACACAGCCTCACCCTCACCGTGACCTCCTTTCTCCCCCCCCCCCTCTGCTTCACGTCATGCTCCAGACTCTTTTCCTCTTCCCGGCGGCAGATTCGTCTTTGACTCGATCGCCATTGCAATTATACGACATCTGGACTGGACGATCCGTTGGGGCTTCCGCTCTGGACATGTTCTCGTCACGCGTGCGCTCGCGTGCCCGGCTGGGGCGCCTTCGCCTTGCCCCCACACCAGTCTCACGACCGCCTGGGAACGCAAGGCCCTCACACTCATCGAGCAGACCCTCGGCGTCGTCTGCAAAGGGGAATGCGGCGGACTATTCCATCGCGCTGGGTGGGCTGGGCCGGCGCGGCGGGCCGTGCTCGGGGCGGCGGCACGACGACGGCACGTGGGCGGCCGTGGCGCTGTCGACGGACCAGACGGGCAGCAACGAGGACGAGGTGGCGTGGCTCGCAGCGGCGCAACAGGGCGGCGGCGGCGGCGGCGGCAGCGGCAGCAGCAGCAGCAGGGAGGACCGGGACGGGTGACGCACCCGGCGCGCTTCGTCGACGGGAGGACGACGGTCGAGGACGACAAATGCGGCTGTGCATCTGGTGCGCAACGCGCTGGGGGGCCACCATGACGAGCTGGTCGCGGGTCGGCTGGCTGTGGGCGCGCCGTTTTCGCGGCGGCTCCGGGATGATATCACGGTGCAGGTGGCTTTCTTTGGGTAGTTCTTTGGGTCTTTAGGTATTTCTCTGGGAAGTTCTGCTTGGGTGGTTTTGGGTAGTTCTTTGGGTAGTTCTCTTTGGGTATTTGGGTATTTCTCTGGGTAGTTCTCTTTGGGTATTTGGGTATTTCTTCAGGTCTTTGGGTAGTTCTCTCGGCGCTGGTCTAGGAGCGCCGATCTGGCAGGGTACGAGATGTAGGAGTTTTGTATAGCCATTGGGTGGCCAGCTGCTACCAATTGATCAACTGGGAGCTTCTGAGTTCGGGCAGCTGCTGCCAGCTGGGATTCTTCAGTGCCAAGGGAAAGATCCGCGCCAGGCGCCCCTGCCTGCCACCAGTGAGGGGCAAAATTCAATTAAGGCAGTCGCGTCTCAGTAGCCTCGAGACGCGTCTCTCGATCCCTCCTCTTTTCCACCTCGTCCTGCTGCTCTCCTTGTCCCCTCCCCCCCCAACAACACACCAAACCACACAACCGCCGCCATGAGTATGCAGCCCCCAACCCCCACCCCGCCCTTCGACGAAACTCCCTCTAATCCCGCACAGCATCCTACGGAGGCTACCAAAAACCCGCGTACGGCGCCAGGGCGGTGATGACTCGGGCGGCTTCATGTACGG